GATGATGAATTAATCGAAAACGTTCGTTCGCCTATCTTGACTTCTTGAAAGCCAGTCCTCCCACGTTTCGATAGGAATTGCTTCATAGACTGAACTGCTGTAGCCTCAAATGCCAGAAAACAGAAGCCGCAACATGCAGTAGGATAGGCGATGAGAGGAATGTACGTGCTTTGCGGTATTGGGGTACCACATGCTCGAACCCAATTTGTAGTGGCTCAAAATATTATTGACTCCTACATTAAAATGACTAATTCCAGGACCTAGTCCTATTAATCTGCGTAGCACATTCAAAAAATTGAATTCTTGAATATTTTAGTGGGTTAGGGACATCCTCTCAACAATATGGAGTGAGCTAAAGTTAGCTGACGTCAGCACACTTTTAAAGAAAGAAGGAAACGGTTGGTTTCTTTTGCAGATTGTAGGAAAAACCACTTTTTATTACTTTCACACGTTGTGGCACAATAGGAAGCAGTAAGCAATTTCAGTAGTTTGTTTAGATTTCAACGTGAGCACCCATGCCCCCAATCAGGTATCGACTTCTCGAGTATTGGTCACCGCATTTCGAGGTTAGTCAGTGAACCTATCGAGAACTATTAAAGCGCTTATTTTGTTGACAGTTTGACTCGCTTTGGACTAGTTTCAGTGTAAGTGTCGCGCAAATTTACCATAAACAGGCTGCAAAATTTTTACTTCCGAGATTATATTTTAGATTTATTCTCTACACACATCTACTCCATGTCCCTATTGTCTATGAGAATGTAATCGTCGACTAAAGAGACGATCTAGACGACAGCAGAAACCTGGGGGTGTAGATGATGCCAGTGTATCGTCTGGTGGCAGTTCAGCGCGCATTTGCTTAAGTGTTTTTCACTTTTGTATCTCCACTGTCTTTTTTTATCCTACAGAAAACCATGTCTAATTCAGGCACCGTTCATTCGGCTTCGTACTTTAACACCCACGATGATGCGGCCACCCTGGAAAGGGCCATGAAGGGTCTCGGTTAGTTCAAATTATTTCCCTCATATCCCCAAGTTTGTCCTTTTGCATCCTGAGACTTCTTTTTATATCTATACTACCCTTTAAATCTGATCGTTTGCTATATAAAGACAGTGGTGCTTTTGCTGAAAGCAAAACCCTATATATCGTAATATTTATTTCACAATTAGGCACGGACGAACAGGCTATTATCAACCTGTTGTCAAAACGTTCTGTTAAGCAACGCCAGGAGATTGCAGAAACCTACAAAGCAAGCTACGGAAAGGTAATTTAGCCACATATTTTCTCGCAAGAATGATAAGTGTCACAATTCGAGGATGAGCTACTGGGACACCTAAATTAGGCCGATTCATGTAATCATTGTTGCAGTTATGCATTCGTTCCACATTGAAACATCCTGCTCTTTAACCTCAACTGCAAAAGGACCTCAAAGACCGTTTGCGCAGCGAATTGAGTGGACATTTCCGACAAGCAGTTCTCTATTCCTTCTACGACATGGCTCATGTAAATGCCAGGGCGTGCTACAAAGCTATAAAGGGCGCGGGCACCGATGAACAAGTCCTCATTGACGTCATCTGCACATCCACGAATGAGGAAATACACGCTTTGAAAGAAGCCTACAATGATAGTGAGTTTTTCCATCATACTTCTTCACTTTGGCTACCAGAAGGCAGAGCAGTGTCGCGAAGGCTGAGGAGTTTAGGTGAAAGTTGTTTTTCTAGGACAAAAGGCTCATGCCAGCTGTTCTTAAAGTAGATTCCCTTTCTAATGAAACGCCAAGCAACATTCTGGAATGTGTTTTTGATTTGAATAATTGAATTAAGTAGGGTTGTTATATTGATTACAGTATATCCGTATCCCTGTATATTTCAGTCACTTTAGGATGTCACACAAGCCTCTATTAATCAATGGCCAATTATGCAGTTTGCATATTTCTTACTGCTTTTTAATGCCCTTAAAATATATTTTATAGCAAAAAAAACTCAAAATAGTATTGCCTGAACTCATTTGGTAGCCAATTTTCCTTCGTTGAAATTTTCCAATTGACGATAAGGTATCTTTCGGTTTTTAAGAACATTGTAATAACGAGACTTTCTATGGTCGTAAAATGTTTACCAATAATACATTATACCCGCCAATCTGTTTATGTTGTCTATAATGAATACAACATGATCAACCCCAATTTCACAATTTAATGAAAACTATGTGACCCGTTCCTCATACTGTAGAGAAGGGTGGACTTTTCCAAAGTTAGAATGAATACACCACTATGTAGGACCTTCTCTGAAACCAAAAGATGCTATTTCTGTAAGTAGAAAATTTTGAAGAAGGCGCAGTTTGCTGCCAAGCGAGTACATGATGGAATATTTTAGTGCATGTTTTTTACAAAATATATTAAAGCTTTCAAGTTGATGGACAATTGATGAAAACACTGCATACTACTTCAAAAGCACTTTTTTAGAGGGTAAATGTTTGCAAGCATTCAGATTGAAGCTCTATTGGAGTGAAATATCTTGAGATTAGTTGAAAGCTAATCAGCATTACAAACTTATTTGATTAGAAAGAGGAGAGACGTTCTCTGGGACCAGAGAACGTCTCTCCTCTTTCTTATGTATTACCAGGGCCTCCAATATTTTGGACTATTCAGAATCTTATTTGAGTAATCACTGGAAATATTCGAGTAAAATATGAATAGCAGAAACGGCCGTCTATCTACGACTGACTCACTGTTTCTATCCGTTTTAGTCCTCTACGAGGCGAAACAAAATGGTAAGCATATATGAGATTTGGCATAATTTAGGGTTGTTTAAAGAACGTAAAATTGGCATCTGAAAGCTGCTTTTTACGATTACTCCAGCTCTTCGGAGGAACTTGGAACTTGATGTCAAAAATGATACCAGCGGTGACTTCCAGAAGGTTCTGATTGCCCTCCTTCAAGGCCAAAGGACCGGAGATGTGGACGATGCTAAACTTCGCGAAGAATGTAGAGCTCTCTACAAGGGCGGCGAAGCGTAAGTTGAATAAAATTAAAAAAATAACTGGATTCGTAATTCTGAATATTCTAGAGGCAGCCTTAAATGTCCTTTCATAAAAGTAGCTGGTATTAATGCCTTATAAGCAACAACCTAGTTTACTGTAAAATAGCAAACTAAGCTAAGCTAAAACTGACAAGACTAGACGATAAGCTGAGAAGTAAACTAACTGAACTAAAAGAAAAAAAAGAAAAAAAAAACGAATTAATAAGTAAACTAAACTAAACAATTCGCACATCAAATAAATAGGTAGTTGTCCTATAGTACGCTACGGCGTTGCTTGTAAAGAACCATTACAGATGCAAACTAAAAGTTAAGCATTGAATAGTAATTCCAAGTAAGTCCCATATAGCGGCAAGGATACCTGCCCTCTTTGTTTGCATAGAATTCACTATTAATAAAGCGAGTTCAAATTTGCAGAGTCGTGGGAACGGATGAAGCCACCTTTACACGGATATTCGTCTCACGCAGCTGGAAAGACATCGTGAAAATCAACGATATCTATAAATCGGTAAGACGGAGCGTGTTGACGTACAGCATTACAACGGCCTAAAGGTATAATTGCGAGTAAATTACTGCTATTTTATACATTTTAAGGCGATTGGTCACGATCTGCTTACAGCCATTGACAAGGAAACGTCCGGTGACTATCGAACTGCTCTTCAGACGATTGGTGAGTTCTGAGCATAACCTGATTATCACATTCTGAGCCGCATTTGGTTGTAGCAGTATCAACATTTAAGTTACTCTTTTGCAGTAAAGACGGCTATCGACAGGAATAAGACCTATGCTGAGATTCTCTACAAGACCATGAAAGGCCTCGGCACTCGTGATGACAACCTTATTCGAATGATCATCGCCCACTCTGAGGTATGTGTATTCAACTTTAAGATCATTTTTAAAATGAGTTTCTACACTAGATATAACGTTATTCTGAGAGAAAGAACTTGATGTGAACTTCTTTTATTTCAGGTTGATTTGGCCACCATAAGGGCTACGTTCGACAGCACATACGACAAAAGCCTGGCAAAATGGATCACAGGAGACACAACTGGTGACTACCGGAAGTACCTTCTTGCAATCCTGGGAAATGAAGTTTCGGAGCCTTTCTGAGCAAATACTAGAAGCTTTTGCTAACATTTGCCAGCTATCATACCAAAAGTATATATGTAGATCTTTCTGTGTCCTTTCTGTACCTGACAGTTTTTCAAGTAGGGCTTAGTTTGGGATACTTGTTAAGATTGTGCCTCGTACACAGGGGAGACGTTTTTATCAAAACTCCTATGCTTGCCATATAGAGCGTTACTAAAGTACAAATCATAAAAGTTTACCCGTTAGAAATTCATAGACAAGTCAAGTCAAGTTTATTAAAGGATACACAGGCAAAAGCCATTGAACTCTCTTTTGGTACATAGTACTTAAGAAATGCATCGGCACATTAACTGTTAAGTTGACAGAACACCTTAGATAGGCCTAGCTCCTACTATTTTTGTTATCTTAGTGCAATTCGCTTTAGCTTACCGCCAACTTTAGATCAATATAATTTAATAATTACTACCTT